CTTAAATGGGTCCCCCCGGAAACGAGGGCCCTTTTTTTGGTTCCTACCCCCGTTTTTTTGGTTCCTACCCCCGGTGTCGTGCTTAAATGGGACCCCCCAAAATGAGGCCCCGTATTTTTGGTTCCTACCCCCGGTGTCGTGCTTTAATGGGTTCCCCCGGGAATCCAGGGCCCGTTTTTTTGGTTCCTACCCCCGTTTTTCGTTTCCTACCCCCAGTGTCGCGGTTTAGTGGGTGCCCCGGGAAACAAGGGCCCGTTTTTTTGGTTCCTACCCCGTTTTTTTGGTTCCTACCCCCGTTTTTTGGCTCCTACCCCCCGGTGTCGCGCTTAAATGGGTCCCCCCGGAAACGAGGCCCGCTTTTTTTCGTTCGTACCCCTTTTTTTGTTTCCTACCCCCGGTGCCGCACTTAAATGGGTCCCCCCGGAAACGAGGCCCCTTTTTTTTGTCCCTACCCCTGGTGTCGCACTTAAATGGGTCCCCCCCAGAAACGAGGCTCTGTTTTTTTGATTCCTAGCCCCGTTTTTTTGGTTCCTACACTCGGTGCCGAGCTTTAATGGGTCCCCGAAGGGCCCGTTTTCTTGGTTCCTACCCCCGTTTTTTGGTTCCTACCCCCGGTGTCGCATTTAAATGGGTCCCCCCGGAAACGAGGACCCTTTTTTTGGTTCCTACCCCCGTTTTTTGGTTCCTACCCCCGGTGTCGCATTTAAATGGGTCCCCCCGGAAACGAGGACCCTTTTTTTGGTTCCTACCCCCGTTTTTTGGTTCTTACCCCTGGTGTCCCAATTAAATGGGTCCCCCGGAAACTACGCCCCGTTCTTTTGGTTCCGACCCTTCCCCCCGGAAACGAGGACCCTTTTTTTGGTTCCTACCCCCGTTTTTTGGTTCCTACCCCCGGTGTCGCATTTAAATGGGTCCCCCCGGAAACGAGGACCCTTTTTTTGGTTCCTACCCCCGTTTTTTGGTTCTTACCCCTGGTGTCCCAATTAAATGGGTCCCCCGGAAACTACGCCCCGTTCTTTTGGTTCCGACCCTCGTTTTTTTGGTTCCTACCCCCAGTGTCACGCTTAAATGGGTCCCCCCGGAAACGAGGGGACTTTTTTTGATTCCTACCCCCGGTTTTTGGTTCCTACCCCCTTTCTCGCGCTTAAATGGGTCCCCCAGGAAACGAGGGCCCGTTTTTTGGTTCCTATCCCCGGTGTCCTGCTTAAATGGGTCCCCCTGGAAACATAGCCCCGGTTTTTTGGTTCCTAACCCCGTTTTTTGGTTCCTACCCCTGGTGTCCCACTTAAATGAGTCTCCCGGAAACTTGGCCCCGTTTTTTTGGTTCCTACCCCTGTCTTTTGCTTCCTACCCCCGGTGTCGCGCTTAAATGGGTCCCCTAGGAGATGAGGCCCTGTGTTTTTGGTTCCTACCCCCGTTTTTAGGTTCCTACCCCCGGTGTCGCACTTAAATGGCTCCCCCAGAAACGAGGCCGCGTTTTTCTGGTTCCTACCCCCGTTTTTTGGTTCCTACCCCCCTTGTCGCGTTTTTCTGTTTCCTCCCCCCGTTTTTTGGTTCCTACCCCCCTTGTCGCGTTTAAATGGGTCCCCCAGGAAACGAGGCCGCGTTTTTTTTGGTTCCTACCCCCGTTTTTTGGTTCCTACCTCCAGTATCGCCCTTTAAAGGGTCCCCCCGGAAACGAAGCTGGTTTTTTGGTTCCTATCCCTGTTTTTTGGTTCCTACCCCCGGTGTCGCGCTTAAAGGGATCCCCCCTGAAACGGGGCCCCGGTTTTTTGGTTCCTACCCCCGTTTTTAGGTTCCTTGGTTCCTACCCCCAGAGTCGCGCTTAAATGTGTCTCCCCGGAAACAGGTCCCCGTTTTTTTGGTTCCTACCCCCATTTATTGAATCCTACCCCCCCGTGTTGTGCTTAAATGTGTCCCCCCGGAAATGTGGCTCCATTTTTTTGGTTCTTACCCCCGAAGTTGCGCTTAAATGTGTCCCCCTGGAAACGGAGCCCCGGTTCTTTGGTTCCTACGCCCGTTTTTTGGTCCCTAGCCCCGGAGTTGCGCTTAAATGTGTCCCCCCTCGAAACAGGGCCCCGGTTTTTTGTTTCCTACCCCCGCTGTTGCACTTAAATGTGTCCCCATGGAAACGGGGCACCGTTTTTTTGGTTCCTACTCCCGCTTTTTGGTTCCTACCTCCGGTGTCGTGCTTCAATGGCTCCGCCCGGAAACGGGGCCCTGGTTTTTTGGTTCCTATCCCAGTTTTTTGGTTCCTACCCATGGTCTCGCGCTTAAATGGGTCCCCCTGGAAACGTGGCTCTGTTTTTTTGGTTCCTACCCCAGTTTTTTGGTTCCTACCCCGTTTTTTGGTTCCTACCCCCGGTGTCGCGCTTAAATGGGTCCCCCCGGTAATGGGGCCCCGGTTTTTTTGTTCCTTCCCCCATTTTTTGGTTCCTACCCCTGGTCTCGCGCTTAAATGGGCCCCCCGGAAATGGGGACCCGGTTTTTTGGTTCCTACCCCCGTATTTTGTTTCCTATCCCCGGTGTGGCGCTTAAATGGGTCCGCCTGGAAATGGGGCCCTGGTTTTTTGGTTCCTACCCCGGTTTTTTGGTTGCTACCCCTGGTGACGTGCTTAAATGGGTCCCCCCAGAAACGGGGCGCCGGTTTTTTGGTTCCTACCCCTGTTTTTTGGTTCCTATCTACGGTGTCGCGCTTAAATGGGTCCACCCGGAAATGAGGCACCGGTTTTTTGGTTCCTATCCCAGTTTTTTGGTTCCTACCCACAGTGTCACGCTTAAATGGGTCCCCCCGGAAATGGGGCCCTGTTTTTTTGGTTCCTACCCCCGTTTTTGTGGTTCCTAGCCCCGGTGTCACGCTTAAATGTTTCCCTCCGGAAACGAGGCCCTGGTTTTTTGGTTCCTACCGCCGGTGTCGCGCTTAAATGCATCCCCCCGGAAACGGGCCCCCGGTTTTTGGTTTCTACCCCCGGTATCGCGCTTGAGTGGGTGTCCCCGGAAAGGGGTCACTGGTTTTTTGGTTCCTACCCCATGTTGTGCTTAAATGGGTTCCCCGTTTTTTGGTTCCGACCCCTGGGGTTGCACTTAAATGGGTTCCCCTGAAAATGGGGCCCCACTTTTTGGTTTCCTACCCCTGTTTTTAGATAACCTAGATCCCTGGTCATGACTAAACCCTGATTTAGGTGATTTAATTTAAATCAAATCACTCTATTAACATCTTAGTATACAGACCTATTAACACTATAGGTTTTCCCATTTCTCCCTCTTCCGTTTGTTTAAAAAAAAAACATAACACAGGAAACTGGTATGCAAAATACACTTCAAACTTATCTGAACATTAAAAACTTTAAAATTCTATACAAGAAAAGCCAAAACATACAGTATCAAGGAAGCTGCAATAAAAGGTCTAGGTATTTCCATGTTTTTATTAGTATAAGCAGATTACAAATTTGAGAATTGTTTAAGAAATGAAGCTACAGAATCAGGTGGAACTAAATTTCTGATTTTTTTAGGTCCATAAAATTTATAATACATATTTTTGTCAAGGTCTCGCTGACCTAAAAAGAAGCCCCACTATATTTATTCACATACTTTGTAATTTATCAAAAAAACCATTTAAGATTATACTTAAAATATGTAACAAACTAAATATTCCGTTATCTACTCTATTTGACCCAGAAATTATATTTACTTCAATTTTGTTGATTTGTACATAATATTGTTTTTTAAAAGTACTTGAGTCTCATGCTATTTTTAATAGTTCTCAGTTATGAATAGATTGTTCCCATGACTAAATTGAAATCTGTTATTTAAAGTATCTATAGCTACAGATCTCATACTAAGCATAAGATTTTCTACAGGGAATAGTGCTTTAAGGTCCTATTGTCCTGCCATTTTCATCCAGAGCTAATTAATTAAGAGCTATTTCCTGACAGTTCCAAATCAATTCCTATAGCTTGCTATAATTTACTAAACACCATCTCAATGCAAGTCTTACTTAAAACTTCTGCAAAGGCCACAAGTCAGCAGCCAAGTTTATACTGCAACTAAAGATAACTAGAGACGCACAAAGATTTTTATCCAGAAGTCACATTTTTCAATTTAAGTGCCCTATCCACAGCCTACATCCAACTTGCTAATAGAAATATGTTCTTTACATAATGCTAAGGGCACTGATACAACATTATAAAAAAAACAAAAGCATAAGTGCTGTAACAAGCTACTACAAGGATTTCACTACTTAAAATAAAAAGTGACAGTGAAAAAAATGCTGAGCGCCAAAAAGTCATATGGGAAACAAAAATGACCAAATGAATGGTAAAATATTCTACAGCCCTAAGGCAGCCTTCATTTGAAATCAGCAATGGGATTTCAGACACACGTCTGAAAAGAAATTCTTCCTTAGTGTACCAATATGCAACTGGTTAAGAACCATAGCGATCCTAGAAAAGAAAAAAAGAGAACAAAAATATAGTCATGTCATGTCT